AAAAGACATAGAAAGGCATAGATGGAAATGGGAAGATCTAGAAAAATATAGATGGAATAGCAAGGTATAGACAGATACATATATAAGAAAATAAAAAGATATAGACCGATATGAAAGGATATAGAAGAATATAGACGGATATAGATGGATACAGAAAGTTATAGAGTGTTATATGTAGAAGTATAAAGAAGGATATAAACACAAATAGAAGGATATAGACAGATATAGAAGGGTACAGATGGATATGGAAGGATATTGAAGGAACAGATATAGAAGGATATAGACAGGAATAGGACGACACAGACGGATATAGACGGATACAGATGGGAATAGAATAACACATACCCATATAGACGGATATATTTAAAAGGACGCGCAAGGATATAAACCGAAATAGAAAGTTATAGGGAGATATAGATAAATATAGTATGGTATAGAATAATGTAGTAGGATATAGACAGAAATAGAAAGACATAAACGGAAATGGTAGGATATAGAAAAATGTAGACAAAAGTAGCTAGATATAGAGATATATAATGATATAAAAAGGTATAGATGGATACAGAAAGTTATAGACAAATATAGTAAGATTAAGACAGATATAGAAGTGTATAAACTGATACAGAATGACATACAAGCACATAGGAGGATATAGAAAGATATGTACAGATATGCAAGGATATAGACAGATTTAGACAGATACACATAGATATAGATGGAAATGAGAAGATGTAGAATGGTATAAACGAATATAGACAGGTATAACTGGATACAGATGGATATCGAAGGATATTGAACGCACAAATATAGAAGGATATAGATGAATATAGAAAGTTATTGAAAAATATGGAAGAATATAGAATGGATTGGAAGAACATAGACAGGTATAGAAAGATTTAGACAGATATGATAGAAGACAGGAATAGAACGACACAGACCGATATAGACGGATATACTTAAAGGACGTAGGAGGATTTAAACCAAAATAGAAAGTTAGAAGAAGATGTAGATGAATATAGACAAACTTAAGAATGCTAAAAGGCAGCAGAGCAATGGGTTCTCTAACATCAATAATGGAGGAAAAAAATATATCGCGAAAATCAAATATACGAATGTACGAAACAATCATAAGATTAGTTGTAACATACGCAAGTGAAACATGGACACTGAATAAACAAGACGAAATGAAATTAGAAACATGGGAAAGGAAAATACTGAGAAAAATTTTCGGAGGCATCAAAAGTACAGAAGGAAGACCAAGGATCACACAAAAAATCCGAGCGCAAAGAATCAGATGGTTAGGACAGATAACTAGAATGCCCAGACAAAGAATAGCAACAAGAGTATTAGAAGAAGAAAGGGGTGAGAAACGAAGAAGAAGACGCCCAAGAAAGAAATGGCTAGAGGAGGTGTAGAAAGATCTGAAAGCTAAACTGAAAAGTCCCCAAACTAAAATTTCGAAAAACTGAGAATTCGAAAGTTGAAACAGCAAGAAATTATGGTCGGAACCGGTTAGGATGTGTATCAGATCACGATCACGGCTTATAAATCAAATCGTTTCCGAACGCTTAGAGTCGACATTGGCCTGAGTGCACTGTGGTCTTTAGATCAAACAAGTTCTCAGACGACAAACTGTAATTCGTGTGACCTGAATTTTATTAAAGTGAAGGAAGCACCTTGTAATATTCTGGTAAATCTAGTGTCAATTTGTCGAAAGTAAAACGCGTCGTTAAAAATATTAGGACATTTTTTTCTATTGTAGTTAATTTTATTCCTAGTTAGAAACAAACACTGTTGTCAACATAAGTCGATAAGTCCTCAACCGTCATTTAATTTAAACTATGACGCTTCTCTATGTTCTCTGATTCAAATAACGATAACTGTGGAAGTGAATAAAGTGCCGGCAATGGTGTTATAACTGGTGATTAGACTTCCCAAAAACATTTGTTTATTTTACTCCTTAGAAACAATATACAGGGTATTTTTGAAATAGATGGAAACTTTTTTTAAGGTAATTGGTCATGATGTAAAGAATTTATGCATCAAATATTGATCTAATAAAAATCCTTTAGTTTTCGAGATAAAATTGATTGAAAATCTGTTAAAATTTGCGTGTGCGCTACTGATTCCAAAAATGTTAAAGGTAAATTTGATCACTATAGTAATTTAAAGTAGTTAAAATTGTTGCTTGTTAACATGACAATACATTCATTAGCCCATCATTTTTTGACATTTTTGCAATTTTTTGGAAGAACAAAATGAATTTTTCTAATTCTGAAATGACTGACATGGTTCTGATGTATGGACAAGCCTTAAGAAACTCCTTGGAAGCTCGACGTTTATACCAAGAAGCACTTCCCGAACGAAGATTGCCAAATCATAAAACATTTGCTAGCGTTGTTCAGCGTCTACGAGAAAATGGGAAATTTCAACCTCGTTTTAGTGATCGTGGTCGTGAAAGGACAGAACGGACACTTGATGCCGAAGAAGAAATTTTGAATGTCGTTGAAAACGATCCAGGTATAAGCATTAGACGATTGTCTTACCGAGTGGGAGTTTCACCTTTTGTGGTGTGGAGAACTCTACATGAACAAGGCAACAATCATTGATTAGACGTGCGGAAGCGTGTATACGAAATGGTGGTGGACATTTTGAAAACTTGCTCTAGTTGCATACGTTACGTTTTGTTTCATTTTATGGTTGATTAAATTATGATTTTGAAGTTTTAATTGTCAGTTCATTAATTATTGTCATTGTTTATTTGTTGCTAGCAATAAATTAATAGCAACAGTAGTTACACCTCGGCAGTTGTCAGTTACTAGGTTTCACATTTTTTCGTGAAACCATTATTTATCAGTGGAGGAATGAATGTTTGGATAGGGGTTAAATTTTCCTTTCAAAATTTTACTAAAACAACAAACGTTCATTTGACTTCTTAGGTTCCCTACATTCACCAGATTTTTTGTTTCCATGTATTTCAATAACACCCTGTATATTCAATACTACTATATTGCTAATTCCTGTCTCGAGCATTTGTCTTTGTATACGTCCATAAAAAACAAGTAATTGAAATGATTTCGTCATAATTATGAAAATACAGCAATTATCATTTAATGAAATAATTGTCAGTAGAAGAGTCTTAATTGTGTCACATTTTATTACTAAGTTGTACTTATAAGTGGTCAAGGTATTTAAACATCTCGTACTTTTTTCATTTGTTTCGTAAATTAAATTCATACAAAGATCGTATTTCGTTATATGAAATTTAAAACGTCTAGATCAGTGGTTCGCAAACTGGGTGCCGCGGCACACTAGGGTGCCGCGGATCCCCCAAGAGGGTGCCGCGAAAATTTTGTAATGATGTTTATAAATATAAGCACAGAACCAACTTTAAAAAATAATAATTGATGATCTGATTTTATTAATATGGTACAACTGTTCAGTAATGGCAAATGTGTTCTGAACATGTTAATTTTCTTCATACTGAAGTAAGATGGCTAACAAATATTTATAAAACAATCTTAACATCAATTACATATTATACAAACATGTGATAAAGTGTTTTTAATAATAAATTAGTTACAATTAAAACTGTTCTTGGTGGGGTGCCGCCAAATTTTGTTTAAAATTTTAGGGTGTCATCAATAATAAAAGTTTGCGAACCACTGGTCTAGATGTACAGCGTAGAAATTCAAGGCGGATGCATAACCCACAAGATAGTATTTTGTTACCAAATCATTAATCTAAAATAAAACATTTTAGCAACAAACGTAAAGAAGCATAGACAAGGTAAATTAATCAATGTGTTTGCTTACTTTTTATAAGTTTACAAGCCGGTTCTACTTTATTTTTATTATTATTATTAAAGTTCCAACCTTGGTACAATTTATTTATTTATAGTCGTGAATCTGCACAGCTAAAAAAATCAACTTTCTTTATTTTATAGTCTTTTATGGTTATTACTGTAATAACAAATTCCCCACATAATTCAATCGGCGATATATCTTTAATAAAAACAGTGTTTAGTTGTTTTTTGTGTCTAATTACGCCACAGGCGAATTTTTATTTATTTGATCGTCAATTAAAATTTAATGTTGTTATTAAATAAATGCATATTAGCTGACGAAATATAAAGCTTTTACGCATTCTTCTTTCTGTCGGAAACAGAACTACTTATTAATCCACTTAAAAAAATTGTGACGTAGTAGAATATTGCAATTTGCAGTTTATCGTCATCCAGTTTGGTACGGCAATCCAGTTTTTGCATTTGTTTTTAATTATGGATGTAGAAGTGGGATGGGACATTGGTATAAATGCTTCGCTAGGAAAGCAACTGGCATATTTTGAATTAGTCCGCACCTGTAAAGTTGGACCTATTCCTGTATAGTTTCTCGTTAAGTGTAAGTTTCATTTTTGTTTGTGTTGTTCTCAATATGTTTTGTTGTTACACCTATGCCTTTCACTTTTTCAAAGTTTTTGTCACTTACTTACTTAAGCTGTCACTTTCGTTGGTTACTTTGTAAATATAGAACTGAAATATTAATAACAATTTATAAGATATAACATCTTCTTTTTGGAAACTTGAACTACTTTAGGTAGCCACAATTTAAATCCACAGCTCTATATATTTGCGTCAGTAGATAACAAACATACGAAATAAATAGCTGTGCATTAACAACTACAAGTAGTTGATAATATTTACTGTTTTGTTTGTACCATAACAACTACTTTTAACGTTCCATATACATATAGGTGGGTATTTCATAATATGCACACAGTACATGCAAAATACAGTAATTTATGGGTTACAAACATTTTTAATAGCTTTTTTAATATATCTTCTTCTTTACGATGTCTACTAAAACCTAATTTATTTTGTCGACATTGTCTGTATTCCATATTTTAGTATCATTATTATTATTAATAAGTGTTGTTGCACCATATTTTACCCAAGGTAAGACTGTTGTGCCCATGTTTATTCTCTAGATTTAGATTCACTTTAAATATAAATTAATATAACATTAAAAAGTTTTCTGTTACCATTTCCTTACTGAACTCCAAGATGGAACACGAACTTGTAAACTACAGTGGGTGGAAAATTCTAAAGAACACTGACTTATATTATGTATTGCAGACGAGTTGTGTTGAATAAGAAATATAACAATCCATTTCACAATGAAAATTGCAATTGTTGGTGCCGGACCTGCAGGTTTGTGTGCAGGGAGGCACTGTCTTAAAGAGAACTTTTCAGTAGACACTTTCGAACAAACTGGACTGATTGGAGGAACCTGGAACTACGTTGCTTGTACAGGTTACGATGAGGATGGAATTCCGGTTCATTCCTCAATGTACAAAGATTTAAAGTGAGTAGAATTGTAGTAAATATAAAGTATAATTTGCTTCTATGTACAGGGCAAACTTACCCAAACAACTCATGTCTTACGAAGATCTTCCATACAAAGTTTACCAAGAATCCTACATATCGCAGGAACAAGTTTTAGACTATATTAAGACTTATTCCAAAAAATTTCGTCTTGAAGACCATGTCAAAGTACGATTTCGGTAGACGAATTTATGACAATAAAGTCTGGTTGTTGCAGTTCTTCAAACGAGTTGTTAATGTTGAACCTCAAGGTAATACCTGGTTGATCGAATTCGAAGATGTCAGAAATAATCGCAGAGAGGTTCAGTTTTATGATGCGGTTATGATCTGTAATGGACATTACAAGGATGCGATTATACCAGAAATATCCGGAATTTGTAGTTTTCAAGGGGATATTAGTCATAGTTGTCATTATCGAACACACGAAATCTACAAGGGTAAAAGAGTTTTAATTATAGGTGCAGGTACTTCGGGTTGTGACATATCTGGCAAAATTTCATCCGTAGCAGATAAAGTAACAACAAACTTTCTTATATATAAAATTCTAACACAAGTTTGTTTAGGTTTACGTGAGTTGTAAATCAAAACCCTTTTTTCCCCTTCCTGATTCTGCATGTGAAAAACCTCTAGTAAAAGAAATAGATGGAAACACAGCCGTTTTTACAGACGGTACAAGTGCAAAAATCGACGCTATCCTTTATTGCACAGGATACAGATATAGCTTTCCTTTTTTATCCAAAAAGTGTGGCGTTAATGTTACGGACAAGAACGTTCACCCTCTATACAAACAAATCATTAGCATAGAACATCCGACCCTAGCGTTTATTGGAGTACCACTACTGACGTGCTATTTTCCTCTTTTTGACATACAGGTAAGAACTGATTTTTTTTCCACTTTTTGTATATTCTGTCTCAGGTTCGTTTTTTCTTGTCAACCCTCAATGGACACTACAAATTACCATCTAAAGAAGAAATGTTGCAACGACTTAACCATCCAGTTGCCAGCAAGCCGTCCAGACCTTTAACTAAATATCACGTTCTTGGCGAAGCCACAGCTGATTATTTCGAAAAATTAGCCACTGAGGCGAACATTAAAAGAATACCACCCGTTATATCGAAGTTATTTATATACGTGATGATGAGGCGATGTGTAAATGAAAGGTTCAGAATTATTGACGACGAACGTTGGGAAAAATTATAAAATGTGTAAACTTAAATATTTATTAGATTATTTATAAGCAAGAATAAGTGAAGGGTTGCTTGTTTTCTAGAACCTAACTTTACTATAATGAAATTCCTTTTCCTTGACTTCTTTGCTTGAAGGTGGTACTAGAGAGTGGCGAAACATGTTAAGCTTGGTGTTTACTAAAAATGTGGCATCGATGGAGTTTAAAAAAATTCTGGTGTCCCGATTTTCGATCGATTTTTATGAAATTTTTTGTGTATGTTTGGTAGATCTGAGAATAGGTCGTACACCATTTTTTATATCTCTAAGTGATAAGGGTGGCCCACCCAAAAAATGTTTGTTTATTTTTTGGCCAACATTTTTTATTTTTATTTTTTTAAGATTTGGGATCAAAAAATACATATAACCCTAAATTTGTCTGCAATTTTTCGATTTTTTCATTTTTCGACTTTTCGACTTCTGAACTTTTCGAGTTATAGATTTTTCGATTTTTCAACATTTTGATTCTTCAAATTCCCGATTTCTCCATTTTTCGATGTTTCGGTTTTTCAATATTCCCATGACTCGATTTTTCGTCTTTTCGGCTTTTCGATTTTTCAAATTTTCAATTTTCGTAATTTCGAATTTTCGGTTTATCCATTTTTTGAATTTTTGATTTGTCGATTTTCGAATATTTTTAATTTCGATTTTTCGATTGTGGAGTTTTCGATTTTTCGACTTACGATGTTTCCTTTTTCTATATTTCGATTCGTGGATTTTTCAATTCTTCGAGATATCGATTTTTCGAATTTTTGATTTTTGGATTTTTATATTTGTCGGTTTTACTATTTTCCGCCATTTCAGTTTTACGGCTTTTTAATTTCCTGATTTTTGAAGTTATCAATTTCCTTAATTTTTCAGATTTTCGATTTCTAGATTTTTATTTTTGTCGGTTTTTCTATTCTCCGAAGTTTCAGTTTTGCGGATTTTCAACTTTTTGATTTTTCAGTTCTTCGATTGTTCAAATTTTCTAGTTTTAAATGTTGTCGATCTTGAATGTTTCAGTTTTTGGTGTTCCTAAATTTTCGATTTTTCGGTTAATCAATTTTTCGATTTTTTCATTTTTCGACTTTTCGAGTTATAGATTTTTCGATTTTTCGACATTTTGATTCTTCAATTTCTCGATTTCTCCATTTTACGATGTTTCGGTTTTCCATTTCTCGCTATCTGTGTTTCGATGTCTCAGTTTTGGGATTTTTCAGTTTTTCGATTCTTCAAATTTGTGATTTTTTAATTTTTTGATTTCTAAAATGTTCGATTTTTCGATTTCTCGATTCCTAGTTTTTTGAATTTTCAATTTTCCAACTTTTTAATTTCTCGTTTTTTAAATTTTACGTTTTTCGATTTATTTTTTTTATATTTTTAATATGACTTTCAGTTTTCGACTTTTAAATTTTTTCATTGCTCCACTTCTCGGTTTTTCAATGTTTAAAATTTTTCTATTTCTCGATTTTTCAAGATTTCAATTTTTCAACTTTTCAACACTTTGTATTTTTTTCATTTCTGGTTTTTTCAATTGTTTGATATTTTAATTTTAGATTTCTCAACGTCTCAACTTATTGATTTCTCGATTTCTCGATCTTTTGACGTTTCGATTTCTCGATGTTTCAGTTTTTCAATATTCCCATGACTCGGTTTTTCGTCTTTTTGGCTTTTCGATTTTTCAAAATTTCAATTTTCGTAATTTCGAATTTTCGGTTTATCCATTTTTTGAATTTTTGATTTTTTGATTTTCGAATATTTTTAATTTCGATTTTTCGATTTTGGAGTTTTCGATTTTTCGACTTACGATATTTCTTTTTTCTATATTTCGTTTCCTGGATTTTTCGATTCTTCCAAATATCGATTTTTCGAATTTTTGATTTTTGGATTTTAATTTTTGTAGGTTTTACTATTTTCCGAAATTTCAATTTTACGGCTTTTAAATTTCTCGATTTTTCAAGTTTTCAATTTCCTTAATTTTTCAGATTTTCGATTTCTAGATTTTTATTTTTGTCGGTTTTTCTATTGTCCGAAGTTTCAGTTTTGCAACTTTTCGATTTTTCGATTTCTCGATTCCTCGTTTTTTGAATTTTCAGTTTTCCGATTTTTCAATTTCTCGTTTTTAGAAATTTTACGTTTTTCGATTTATTTTTTTTTATATTTTAATATGAATTTGAGTTTTCGATTTTTAAATTTTTTCATTTCTCCACTTCGCGGTTTTTCAATGATTAAAATTTTTCTATTTCTCGATTTTTCAAGATTTCAATTTCTCAACTTTTCAACACTTGGGATTTTTTCCATTTCTTGTTTTTTCAGTTGCTTGATATTTTAATTTTAGATTTCCCAACGTCTTAACTTATTGAATTCCATGACTCGATTTTTCGTCTTTTCGGCTTTTCGATTTTTCAAATTTTCAATTTTCGTAATTTCGAATTTTCGGTTTATCCATTATTTGAATTTTTGATTTTTGGATTTTCGAATATTTTTATTTTCGATTTTTCGATTTTGGAGTTTTCGATTTTTCGACTTACGATATCTCTTTTTTCTATATTTCGATTCCTGGATTTTTCGATTCTTCCAAATATCGATTTTTCGAATTTTTGATTTTTGCATTTTTATATTTGTAGGTTTTACTATTTTCCGCAATTTCAGTTTTACGGCTTTTTAATTTTCCGATTTTTCAAGTTTTCAATTTCCTTAATTTTTCAGATTTTCGATTTCTAGATTTTTATTTTTGTCAGTTTTTCTATTGTCCGAAGTTTCAGTCTTGCGACTTTTCAACTTTTTGATTTTTTAGTTTTTCCATTGTTCAAGTTTTCAATTTTTAAATTTTTTAGATCTTGAATGTTTCAGTTTTTGGTGTTCCTAAATTTTCGATTTTTCGATTTTTTCATTTTTCGACTTTTCGACTTCTGGACTTTTCGAGTTATAGATTTTTCGATTTTTCGACATTTTGATTCTTCAATTTCTCGATTTCTCCATTTTTCGATGTTTCGGTTTTCTACTTCTCGATATCTGTGTTTCGATGTCTCAGTTTTGGAATTTTTCAGTTTGTCGATTCTTCAAATTTTTGATTTTTTAATTTTTTCGTTTCTAAAATTTTCGATTTTTCGATTTCTCGTTTTTTAAATTTTACGTTTTTCCATTTATTTTTTTTATATTTTAATATGACTTTCAGTTTTTGACTTTTAAATTTTTTCATTTCTCCACTTCTCGGTTTTTTAATGTTTAAAATTTTTCTATTTCTCGATTTCTCAAGATTTTAATTTTTCAACTTTTAAACACTTTGGATTTTTTCCATTTCTGGTTTTTTCAATTGTTTGATATTTTAATTGTAGATTTCCCAACGTCTTAACTTATTGAATCCTATGACTCGATTTTTCGTCTTTTCGGCTTTTCGATTTTTCAAATTTTCAATTTTCGTAATTTCGAATTTTCGTTTTGTCCATTTTTTGAATTTTTGATTTTTCGATTCTCGAATATTTTTAATTTCGATTTTTCGATTTTAGAGTTTTCGATTTTCCGACTTACGATATTTCGTTTTTTCAATGTTTCGATTCCTGGATTTTTCGATTTTTGATTTTTGGATTTTTGTATTTGTTGGTTTTACTATTTTCCGTAATTTCAGTTTTCGGCTTTTTAATTTTTCGATTTTTCTTTTTTTTTTTAATCTTGACTGTTTCAGTTTTCGGTGTTCCTAAATTTTCAAATTTTCGATATTTTGATTTTTCCAATTCTCGATTTCTCGAGTTTTCGATATTTGGGTTTCTGGACTTCTCGATATCTCAGTTATTCGATGTCCTAGTTTTGGAATTTTTCAGTTTTTTCACTCTTCAATTTATCTTCGATTTTCAATTTTTCTGTCTCGATTTATCGACTGATCAATTTTTAAATATTTGAGTTTCCGGATTTTTCAATCTGATATTTTAATTTTTTGGTTTCTTAAATTTTAGATTTTTGTTTCTCAATTTCTCGATTTCTCGTTTTTTGAATTTTCATTCTTTAGATTTTTCACTTTTTCGTTTTTTAAATTTTACATTTTTCGATTTTACAATTTTTAATATTCCAATATGTATTTTAGTTTTTAAATTTTTTGATTTCTCTACTTCGCGATTTTTCAATATTTAAAATTTGTCTGTTTCTCAATTTTTCAAGTTTTTAATTTCTGATTTATTCAGCACTTCAATTTTGGGAATGTTTTCATTTCTGCATTTTTTCTTTATTGCAATTTAAAATTTTTCAACTTCTCAACTTTTTGATTTCTCGATTTTTCAGTTTTTCAATACTCCCAACATTCGATTTCTCGATTTTCGTAATTTCGAATTTTAGATTTTTCCATTTTTCGAATTTTTGATTTTTCGATTTTCAAATATTTTAAATTTCCATTTGACTTTTCGATTTTCAATTTTTCCATTCTTCAGTTTCTATATTTCTCAATTATTTTACTCTTCGGTTTTTTGATTTCTCGAGTTTTCGATTTTCGATACTCCAATTTTCAATTTTTTTACTTTTCGATGTTTCGATTTTTGATTTTTCGAATTTTCAATTTTTCGATGTTTACATTCTTCAGTTTTTAGACTTTTCAATTTTTTTACTCTTCGATTCGAATTTTCAATTCCATTTTCTTTTACTTTTCGATTTTTTGATTTGTTAATTTCCGATTTTTTGACTTTTCCGAAGATTTTTTTATTTTTCGATTTTCGAAGTTGTTATTTACGCGACTGGTTTTTACTTTATACAGGTAAAAAATAAAAATCGCAAAATCAAATTTTATAATTTTGCAAAGAAACGGGATTTAATCGGTTTTACTTTAAGGTCGAAAGAAGTTGTGTCGAAATAATCTTCCACCAATTTTTCTCTTTTTCTTTTAATCATTTATTTTTCATTTCTATGCTTCTGTCATGAGCTTTGTTCACTATGTTCTACACACCGTGGAATATAAGGAAAGTATTAAAAGGTGCAAATATTATAGTGTCTTGATGGCTGTTGAATATAATCATTATCGTACGATAAATTTCTATGTATAATTTATAATTTATTTTAATTCATATTTATTTAATTTCTTATTTAATTACCAAAATATTCAATAGAAATAATTTATATGGCAAAACAACGTTTGCCGGGTCAGCTAGTATACATAGAGTTAAGATTTTATCGCCGTGAATCAGGGCGTCTAGTTGGCTTCCTCCTTTGCGAAAATGGAAAGAAGTGCGACTGTAAAGAGTCAACTTTCTTTCTGGGTTGTTAGTGTTATTATAATAACAAGTTTCAATGAAAATAACGTTTCGCTGTTTCTTGTGATTAATGCTGTCATAAACGAACTTGTAATTAAATGAAGTAAGAACTGCTATTTCAAACCTAAGGTGCGTCATCCAGTTGGAATAATGACGCAGTTATTGCAAATTACTTATAATTATATAGATTAATTACATAGAACGTCAATAGAAATGCGTGGATAGAACTATATACAACTAATTCTTTCTGGGTTAGTTTGAAACTGAGGCTTCATTTGACAAACTGCATTCACTTGCAGTAAGCAAGTATATATTTTTTTCTTTTTATTGGTCTGAACATAATATGTTATTTTTATTAAATTTGGAGTCTTTTGTTGTATTCGTTTTACAACATGAACTTTGTAAACAACATTAGAACAATTTAGTGTTCTTAGATATGAAAATTTTGCGTGTCGTTATTCGAACGAACAAATAAATTGTTCGTCATTTTATTTTTGTTTCTATCGTCTTATTGCAGAAAAGTTATATATACTGACGAACAGCTTATTAATTCTTCCCATCACATTTCAATGAAGGTTGCGATTATTGGGGCAGGCCCTGCAGGTTTGTGTGCAGGGAGGCACTGTCTTAAAGAAAACTTTCAGTTCGATATTATTGAACAAACTGGAAACATTGGAGGAACGTGGAACTATGTTCCTTCCACAGGCTGCGATGACAATGGGATTCCAGTTCATTCTTCTATGTACAAAAATTTAAAGTGAGTTTCTATTTCTATTCTATTATTTAGGTAATCTATCCATATTTAGGACAAATTTACCCAAAGAACTTATGGCTTTTGAAGATTTTACGTACCCGGAGTACCACGAATCCTACATATCGCAAGAACAAGTTTTAGATTACATTAATAGTTATTCCAAAAATTTTGGCCTTGAGGATCATATTATGGTTTTATTTTGTTATACGAGATTTTAAAGGTGGCACAGTCCTGCTTTTGCAGTTGTTCAAACGAGTTCTTAATGTTGAACCTCAAGACAACTTCTGGTTAATCGAATTCGAAGATGCCAGAAACAAGGAGAAAGAAGTTCGGTACTATGATGCAGTTATGATCTGTAATGGCCATTGTAGAGATGCTATAATACCAGAAATACCCGGAATTGGTAGTTTTCAAGGCAGTGTTAGTCACAGTTGTGATTATCGGACATTTGAAGCATACAAGGGTAAAAGAGTTTTAATTATAGGTGCAGGTACTTCGGGCTGTGATATATCTGACAAAATTTCATCTGTAGCAAATAACGTAATAACAAGCTTCTGTACATACCAAGTTTTGACTGATATTTCTTCAGGTCTATGTGAGTTATAAATCAGAACCCTTTTTTCCACTTCATGATTCTATATGCGAAAAACCTCTAGTAACAGAAATAGATGGAAACACAGCTTTGTTTCAAGATGGTACCAGCGTAGAAGTTGACGCTATCCTTTATTGCACAGGATACAACTTTAGTTTTCCTTTTTTGTCCAGCAAATGTGGCGTTAATGTTACGGACAATTACGTCCATCCTCTATACAAACAAGTAATCAACATAGAACATCCTACATTAGCCTTTATTGGAGTACCACTACTGACGTGCTATTTTTCTTTCTTTGACATACAGGTCTGAAAATTTTGTTCACTTTTTGTATAAGCTTTCTCAGGTTCGTTTTTTCTTGTCGACTCTCAATGGACACTACAAACTACCGCTGAAAAAAGAATTGTTAGAAGATCTTAACCACGCAGTCGCTAAAATGTCATCTAGATCTGTACGGAAATATCACGTTCTGCGTGAAGCAACAGGAGATTATTTCGAAGAATTGGCCACAGAGGCAAATATTAAAAGAATACCACCAGTTATAACAAAATTGCTCATGTATGTGAAGACGAATCGAAACATAGATGACAGGTTTAGAATTATCGATGACGAAAATTGGGAAAAGCTATAACCTTCGTTATTCACTAGTTTTTCTGATGAATGTGTATAGTTAAATATTATCCATTCACGATCTTTATATAGTAAATTAGGCTTTGATATTTTTTCTTTAAGTTGGATGATTTAGTTGTTTGTCTGTCAGTGGTCTGATTGACATTTGCTTTGAGCTGGATTACCACTTGTCTACTTTATTTATTAAATCAGAATTATTAGACGCAATTTTTTAATCAAGCAAACAAATGTTTTAATTTTGTCAGCATGGATAATTTGTTATTGTGAGAGATTCACAGATCATTGCGGCATTATTTAAAAAGAAAATGCCTAAAATAGTTTTACTGCAACAAAAAATTGCGATAAAAAGAGGTTTTTTGCAGTTTCGAAAAGACAGGCCCGATCTTTCTTTCGAAGAAGTGACTATGAGGGTCTCGAACATATTTTCTGTAATATAAAAATGCGCTGTACAATGTTTTTTAATTTTTTTTCTCATAGGTGGGAACATCAAGTGGGGCGAAAATTTTATCAACAGGGGACCAAAATTTAAAAACATCACTATCTGGCAAGCGAAAATCAACGGATTTATTTACAAATTATATGTTTCGGAAAGACCTGCAACGACAAATTTAGCAACTTAATGAAAAAAACGAATATTTCAGTGTAGATACTCTTTTGGCATATTCTAGGGAACAGTTGGAATTTAAAGTGGGGCGAACCACGTTATACAAAATTCTTAAGTCAATGGGTTATAAACACAGAGAAGTAAATGGTCGCAAAATTCTATGTGAACAGAAACATGTCGTTGCAGCCAAAATTACTATTTTGAGAACATATTTACAGTTTCTAAATTCTTGTGAAAATTTGACTTTCGTGTATTTGGATGAAACATGGATCTATCAAAATGGTTCGTCCATTCGTCGCTGGGTGCACGATACTGATCTGAAAAGCAATCCCACCAAAATTAAAAGTGAAGGATCAAGGTTTACTATTCTCCACGCGGGTTGTTCAACGGGGGTTCTTGGATGGTTGTAACAATTTTTTAAATTCAGAAAATAACGATAGAGACTATCATAAAACGATGGATGGGACAATTTTTCAAAATTGGGTGGTTAATCAGCTCATTCCTGCTTTGGCAAAGTTGAACCAAAAATGTGTGGTGGTTTTAGATAATGCACCGTATCATCCGGTTCAGTTGGAATAACCACCCAATTTTTCTAGTAAAAAATGTGAAATGCAGGAATGGTTCTTTAAACATAGCGCTGAATTTGTCAAAAAATTTTTGAAGAAACAGTTGTGGGATTTAATTAAACCCTTCAGAAACAATAGAAAAAAGATATTTGGTAGACGAGACATTAAGAGAAAGTGGCCATTAAGTTCTTAGATTACCTCGATACCACTGTCAAAATAATCCAATTGAAATGGCGTGGGGATTTTGTAAGAACTATTACAACAAGCATATAAATTCTCAACCTTCATTAAAAAATAGGGTCGAGAATTAATAGCTTGAGGCGCTTTCTAAATGTACTCCAAGCATGTGGCAAAATTTTTGTAAACATTGTGAAAAGCTTATTTTGGCAGATTGGGAAAAAATATGGAAAATCTTTCGTACGAATCTATACCTCATTTCATTATTTCGCTAGGTGAATCTGATTCAGAATCTGAATTTGAAAATGACGGTGATAATACAGATTTTCATAGCGAAATAATGGAAATGGAGTGAATTGTAGCTTGTCGGGGGGTGATATTTTTACGCATCTTTCGTTCTAAATTTACCAAGGTAGTATGTGAAAAACTACCTGACGCACAACAAAATAAGTATAATTTTAGTTAGATCATCCACGTTGTTACTTTGCACCAAATTTTAAACATTTTCATTTTTTTTTGTAACTCTTCATGGAGGTGGAGAAGGCGTATAGTAACGTTCTTATTAATATGGGTTTGGAAGCACTTAGTAAAAGCAAATAAAGAGCACTTACGTAAGTATTAGTAATACTATATAGATAAATCATTCAATTTAAGGCCGGAAAAATGTTTCAGAAGAGCTAAACCCATCAAAGCACTAGAGCAAGGTTGTTGTCTTTTACCAACCCTTTTAGTAATCTTATAAAAGTGAAAAAAGAAGTTGGAAGATATGGAAATAGGCTGTTCACAAAGGTCGAAATTTCCATTTCTAAGAAGAGTGGGCGAGCAGAACGAACTGATGATTGAGAATTAAAGATGGGATGCTAAATGTGGCATGCGACAATAGTCGTATGTAGAACCCCCATTCATATAAAAACAATGTTTAAGTGAAATTTTCGTGTTTGTTCCTTACATATGAAATAAACACTTACAAAAAGCCGAATAACTGTTTTAAATAGGGTACATTTTTATGCTTTCTAAGAAATGGATACCGTTAACTTGGTCATTGCTACTGGTAACGGAAAGCATCGGCAACAATGTTTATATTTCTGGCATATTTTTTAACCTTTAATTTAAAAAAACATAACCTAATGAAAGAAGTTCAGGGAATTTTTATTCTTCTGCATCGAATACCAACAAACTCACTAGATTTTCATGGCCAACCCTACTATATAAAGTTCGTGAACGGATAATATTTTTTGTTTAATTTCACAAAACAATTTAATTGCAAATAAAGTACTCTGCAATTTTTACGAATGTCTAAATTCTTGTTTTGTTGATATTCAAATGTTATAAAATATATCTATCGGAAATTACGGAATGTACATAATTATCAAAAAAGAAATAGATCACTTTTCTATATAGATAAACCCAACCACACTTTCTTCAAAAAATCGCCCATGTATGCTGGATGCTATCTCTATAATTTGTTACCTGACTACGTCAAAATAACCACACCTAATTTTTTATTTAAGAAACGAATACAATGTTTTCTATTAGAAAAAATTTTTTACTCCATTCAGGAATATGTAACGATGCTTACAACGAAACACAGAAACGAAATAAATGTTCCACTAATATTGTAGATATTTTCTTCCTCACTACATATATAGTGTTGTTATTATATTGTTCTTATTTTATTGTTTTCTTTATGTACGCCTATGTTTTAGTGTTGTAATTTTTCATTTCTATGTTATTATATTTGACTATGTAAAATTGACTCGCCAGATTATGTACAAAATGTATATATACTTGGTTCAAATAAATACATTTACATTTAACATTTACATGGTTTGTTTTTAAATTTCAGTTTTATATTTTTCGGACAAGATAAGATAAGGTGCTATAATTTTGCTGGACTGTTTTGTGTATGCATATACTATAAATAGTTCTTAGTTGTACTTTATTTATGAGATGTCGTGGTAGTGATTGCTGTGACCAGTTTGAAAAAGCGACGCAATTGTTGCAAATTATTTTTAATTATTATTTGTTTATCACAAGTGACACTTTTTGAGTAAATGGGAAACTGAGGCTTCAATTACGACATATCTTCTAAATAAGGGCAAGTATCAGCTTTTTTCTCTTCTTAAGAAAATTTGTTGTTTATACTAAATGCGACGTTTTCTTTAATACGAGTTATTATTCTTCTAGAGTCAGTCGTGTCATTATTGTCATCTGAAACTGACCGCTATGATCATCTTATAGCTCCACTTTATTGTGCGTTTTTATACTCTGTGATTTTTCAAATTTATACTCTAGTTGTCCGTAGTCAGCAGTGCAATAGAAACGTCTAACAAATCGTCATGGCCAACTAGAGCAGAAATTTAAAAAATCACCTTAGATTAAGTGAGACATGTACACTTTAAATAATCCATCAGCTCATATATTTGCCTGAATATGACAAACATGCAATTATAAAAACATAGTTGATTGAATTATGCTTACATAGTTACATAAACAAAGTTATATTTTATATTATAGCGAAACACTGGGCAGACACAACTTCTTAATACAAGGTGATATTAGTTTCATTTTCTTTACATCACACCTCAATGAAGATTGCAATAGTTGGAGCAGGACCTGCAGGTTTGTGTGCAGGAAGACACTGTCTTAAGGAACATTTTTCATTTGACATTTATGAACAAACGGGAGTTATTGGAGGAACCTGGAACTAATTTCCTTGCACAGATTACGACGAAAACGGTATTCTGGTTCATTCCTCGATGTACAAAGATTTAAAGTAAGTAGAGTTCTATCAGACGAAAAAAATAATTTATGCCAAACGCAGGACAAACTTACCGAAAGAAATTATGACTTACGAAGATCTTCCATATCCAGATTACTACGAATCGTATATGTCTCATGAGCAAGTTTTAGATTATGTTAAGAGCTATTCCAAAAAATTTCGCCTTGAAGACCATATCAAAGTACGATTTCGGTAGACGAAGTTATAACAATAAAATCTAGTTGTTGCAGTTGTTCAAACAAATTGTTAATGTTGAACCTCAAGGTAATATTTGGTTGGTCGAATTCGAAGATGTCAGAAATAAACAGAAAGAAGTTGAGTTTTATGATGCCGTTATGATCTGTAACGGTCATTGTAAAGAGGCTATAATTCCAAAAATACCTGGAATTTGTAGTTTTCAAGGCACTATCAGTCATAGTCGTCATTATCGAACATCTGAAATTTACAAGGGTAAAAAAGTTTTAATTATAGGTGCGGGTACTTCGGGCTGTGGTATTTCTAATCAAATATCATCTGTAGCAGATAAGGTAACAACAAACTCCTTTATGTACCAACTTTTAACAGATATTCCTTCAGGTTTATGTGAGTTGTAAATCAGGACCCTTTTTACCACTTTCTGATTATGTACGTGAAAAACCTCTAGTAACAGAAGTAGATGGAAACACAGCCTTCTTTACAGACGGTACAAAAGAAAAAATCGACGCTGTCCTTTATTGCACAGGATATAAATATAGTGTTCCTTTTTTATCCAACAAGCGTGGCGTGAATGTGACAGACAAGCATATTCATCCTCTATACAAACAAATAATAATTAGCATAGAACATCCTACCTTAGCATTCATTGGACTACCATTAATAACATCCTATTTTCC